CTGGGCAGGAGCGGCGGGGCAACCGTGCCAGTGGTCAGAAACTCAGCTGTGGGCTGTGGACAGGACACTGAGCTTCCAGCGAGGTGTGCCCGTGGACGGTGGAGAGCTTTTTTGTAAAATTCAATTTAAAAAAAAGGAAAAAGAAAAAAATAATGCTTTTCAGTGTCACTTTCTTGCATATCCCTTGCAGGGGTTGAAATGTGCTTGGTGTAGCACTCGCTGGGAAGCGGTTCACAACCTGTAACTTGACTGCTGTAAAGCGCAGGGGGGCTGCCTGGCGCGGGCAGCGGGTGCGAGGCAGAGACGATCCCATGGAGCGAGGCTGAAAGCTGCCAGTGGTTTTAACCCCTGCTCAGAGCCGATCGATAACTTCTTTTTTTGGGGGGAGCAATTACTTTGTTGCCTTTAAAAATAGCACTGTAACCACCTTTTTTTATGATTAGCTGTAGTATAACCTTTGTCCCTTCAAACTATGCAAGTTTTGAAATGTAAATTAGGGATCAGTTAAAGATAGTTGATTATATTCAATCAGATGGCATTCATGCACTAACTGGAGTATATTCAGATAAAGCTATTAGAGTGACTTGTATGCTAACAGCAAGATATACCATACCTACCTATTCTAAAAAAATGACTATTAATATTGTATAACAGGACTGTGGGGTTGGGAGGGAATGTTATCTCTTACCTTCTTAAAAGGGGATTTAAGATTTTTATAACTGTTTTTTCCATCAAACTTTAATATTTTTGTCAAATTTTTAGGTATTTAATTTGTAAAATAGATTTTACTTTGTACTGGCGTACAGAAAATAGGGGTTGATTTAAACTTTTTTGAAGCCAAGTGATCAAGTACATTTGTAATAAAAAGTCAATGGATCTATATCAGTCGTACTCACTGTTTTCATTTCTTGTACGTTCTAATGCAGTGGTGCTGTATGTCTCCCAAGGAAAAAAATTGGGGAGGTGGGCGGAAGGAGAAGGCAAAAATGTCAGCATTGACGCTGCAAATTGATGTGGCTTTCCGTAAGCAAGTGTCCCGCGGTAGTCAGTGGAGATTTGGTAGATATGCATTTTTACTAAAAACATGTGCACTTTTTCAGTAAGGGTTTACAAAAACCTGATGTTTTTGGCATATTTTCACTTCATGCTTCCACCTTAGTGCCCGTAAACTCTAAAGCCGCCCTTTGGGAAGCACGTTTCCCTGGCACTCAAGAAAAACAAAACCAAACAAAGCAAAACTGATTTCTTCTAAGGTGGTGAACTATGGCATGTTACGTTTTTGCACCTGCACACTTTGTCTCCCTTCCTCAAAGGTCTGCCACTTTGTTCTTTTCTCGAAGTTCAATGGGTTAAACTTTTTTTTTTTAAGTAAAATTACCGAGTGTTTTGGATTGAAGACTTCAACAGATCCACCGAGTTTGGATCCAACACCTTGCAGAGCACTGACATAATCATTTTTTGTTTGCTTGTTTGCTTGAAATCCAGACCTCCCGTTTCCCGTTCCAGGGCATATACCAAATCTGATTGAC